CAAATGCTTTGTGTCACTGGGAAGGCGGTAATTCTGTGTTGATTTGTTATGGATGTTCGTATTTGATTGCAATAAAAAGTTTGAGAGAATCATCCCTGGCTAGTAGGGCCACTGTTCAGGGATGATGGGAACTGTAGCCCAAAAACAGCTGGAGACCCCATGTTTGGGAAAACCAGGTCTAAACTAAAAAGTCCCAAACACTGTAACCTGTGATGGCCTGGGATTCAGACTCAGAGGCTAAAACTGAGGAATCCCAGCCTGCACAGGAGTCCCCGCCTCCAGAACCAGCTGAGCCGGGGCTGGGGCTTGAGCCTGAAGGGTCCTCACCTGTGCTGGATCCTCAGGTGCAGGCATCAGCTGCTCTGGCTCCTGAGGTGATGGGGGACCCATTGCCTGCAGGTGCTCCACTCTCAGCCCCATCAGGGGAAGCTGAGGTTGCCTCTGGGTCCGGTAACCCTCCAGCCTCTCCTGAGCTGCAGAGGCTCAGGGCAGAGAGGCAGAGGGAACTAAGTTCCTGCAGGAGGAGTGCTCGCCTCCAGGCCAGGAGAGGCGAGTCACCTGTGGACTGGGGCCGCCCTATGCCTCGGGGCAGATAAAAGCCAGCCAGCCCCAGTCCCAGGTTGTGGGAGCAACATTGTTGGTAGCCTGTTCCTGCCTGCACCCTGTCCTGCTCTTCTGCCGGAGTTCTTGACCTCACGCGACTCCCTGCCTTGGACCCCGCTTCACCTTTGACAAATTACGCTAGTAGGACTACAAGAAGTTTTGTAAGGAGAAATATACGAAGTGTTACAAAGTAGAAAAAGATAGAGATGTTTATTATGAGATTGAAATGTAATAGGGAAAATAAGAAATGCATGAGAAGACAAGACTCCCTGGAAAAGACCCTGATGTTGGGAAAGATGGAGATAACAAGGAGAAGGGGACGACAGAGGACGAGACGGTTGGATAGTGTTCTTGAAGCTACCAGCATGAGTTTGACCAAACTGCGGGAGGCAATGGAAGACAGGAGTGCCTGGCGTGCTCTTGTCCAGGGGGTCACGAAGAGTCGGACATGACTAAACGACTAAACAACAACAAAGTCCTCACTAGAACTGGGAGGGAGGGTTGAGCGATAGGGAGACACTAAAACGCCCAGCTTCTGCTGCTTCCAGGTCATCTTCAGGAACATGAGAAACTGCCTCATACTGAGTCTGACAGCTGGGCCATCTAGCTGAGTAGTGTCTCACTGACTGGCAAAAGCTCTTCAGGGATTTAGATTGTGTGGGGAGGGGGACATTCTCAACCCTACTTGCAGATGTCATTGGAGATGGAACCTGGAACCTTCTTCATGCAAAGCAGATTCCCTTCTGAGCCACACCGCAACATCTAGCACCTACCAACTAAACTGGGATATATAGAGGAAATGCAGAGGGGAGAAATCCCCCCTCCCAATCATTCAGTTTGTACAAACACAGCACACACACACACACACACACTCCCACATGACATACGTGACGTTTCTGTTATAAATTCGTAGTAAATCAAGCATACATCGGATTTACACCAGTCCACTTTTATTTTGCTCCATGAAGGAAGGACTATCAAAGGGGGATGGTTTGATACAGGACGGCCATAATCCCTTAACTGTACCAACACGCACTCAGGAGCCCTGCCCAGTTGGCATGGCAACTTTGATGGTCCCAGGCAGAAGACCATCGAGGACTCAACGGACTTGCATATGGGAGTGGATTCAACACAGACTGAAACAAAGGACAATGATCAGCTCTTCCCTCTGGGGGCAGGAAACTGCCAACTCCCCTTTGTCCTCTGGAAATGACTCATGGGGAGGGGGAAAGGAGGGACCAGCCAGGTGACAAGATACTCAGGTTACTTCCACAACCCCTCCCTCAACCCCTCCTTTTTGTGATGTGTGAATGATGTAGTCATGATGTAGTTGTGATGTAGTTCTAGGGGTGTAGCTTGGGGGATTAGTAGCTAATAAAAGTTGGGGTCTTCTTATGTTCAGGGCTTCCATTTTGCTTCATCTTGTTGTGGGTGGGAGTCCTGTCGTGACAGTTTCCAATAAAGGCCAAGCCTACAGGCTGCTGTTTTGCTCCAAATTGTCCTGTTTGGTGTCTTTGTTTTTTGCCCAAGGGAGCCCCTGGATTCCTCCATTAACAACCCTAATTTCCTTTTTTGCATGATCTGCAGGAGAAGGCAGGTGGGAGAGGGAAGCCAACGGAATCAGAAAGCAAAACAGAGAAGGCAGCCAAATCTCCCAGCGAGAGGAAGCGTTCAGAAAAGCACTCGGACTGGCCGCTGCTGATAACGGGTTTAGAGACGGTGGTGGGAGCCAGAGCAACTGAACAAAGGATGCCAGGAGGTGGGGGAGCTGAATCTGCCCCAGTTCGAAGCCCCGGCCTCCTGCCAGAGGGTCAAACAAATCCACTGATAATCAGCACCAGTGGCTGGAAAGAGAATTGGCAGCAGCCTCAGCCTGTGGCACTCCTGTAGACCTCCAGAGGACAGACAAGTCATTACCCGCCCAGCAACTGTTGGCTGATGGCCCCAAGGAAGACAGGCTGCAGAGAGATTGTGCCAGTCTTTGTGTCTGGACTCTCAGCCAGCAAACAGAGAACAGGAGCACACTAGCCTTTCTTGGACAGAATCAAAGAATCGTAGAGTTGGAAGTGACGCTGAGGATCAACTAGTCCAGTGGTTCCCAATTAGCTAATAACTGAGGTCCCTGATTTTTCAAAAGCCAAGCCACGGACCCCCTACCATAGATAACTCTATTGCAGTTACCTCTACTAAGCAATTTTTTGAACAAAATGTGGGGGTAGCCCCTAGTAAGCAAAGGATTTCAGGTATACAGTGGTACCTCGGGTTAAGAACTTAATTCGTTCTGGAGGTCTGTTCTTAACCTGAAACTGTTCTTAACCTGGAGTACCACTTTTAGCTAATGGGGACTCTTGCCGCCGCCGCCATGGCGCGATTTCTGTTTTGATCCTGAAGTAAGGTTCTTAACCTGAGGTACTATTTCTGGGTTAGATGAGTCTGTAAACTAAAGCATCTGTAACCTGAAGCGTCTGTAACCAGAGGTAAAAAAGTAAAGGTACCCCTGACCGTTAGGTCCAGTCGCAGACAACTATGGTGTTGTGGTGCTCATCTCGCTCTATAGGCTGAGGGAGCCAGCATTTGTCCTCAGACAGCTTCTGGGTCATGTGGCCAGCATGGAGAAACCAGAGCAGCACACGGAAATGCGTTTACCTTCCCGCTAGAGCGGTACCTATTTATCTACTTGCACTGCTAGGTGGGCAGGAGCTGGGACCGAACAACAGGAGTTCACCCCGTCACAGGGATTCAAACCGCCAACCTTCTGATCAGCAAGCTCTAGGCTCTGCGGTTTAGACCACAGCGCCACCTGCATCCCTTATTGTAACCCGAGGTACCACTGTACTAAAAAAACAGACTGGGGCTGAGAGATATCTGGCTTTCAGCATCGTGATATATCAGCAGCTAAACATCGCAATATTGCAATACATCACAATGTCTGAAACTGGAGATCAGGTGTGGGGATGAGGGAAGGAGCAGTCACAGAGATTGGATGGGTGGGAGGTTTGAGTGGGAGGGGATGGGATGGGGATGATGGGGGGTGCATCAAGCCAAAGTCAGTGGAGCAGCCAGCATTGGCAGCCAGCAAATATGCATGTCCACTGTGGCTGCTGCTTTCCTGATGACTGAAAAAGCTGCTCTGCCTCAGTGCCAGGGGAAGGTTGTGCCACAGTGCCTTGAAATGAGGGCAATCAACTGCCCTGTTCTCTGTCAGCATGAGAGGAAGGCAGCTCAGATCAACATCATCATCATAAATTTTATTTATACCCCGCCCTCCCCAGCCAAGACCGGGCTCAGGGCAGCTAACACCAAATATAAAAACAATTGAAATGCAGCTTAAAAAACAAGATTAAAATACAACATTAAAACATTAAAATACAGCCTCATTTCAATAGAAACTCAAATAAATAACATTTGGGGGGATGAAAACGTCAAGTCTTCACCAAGGCTAACTATCCAGACTGGTCCAGGGAAGTCCCCAAATAGGAGTTCCTTCACAGAAGGAGAAAGGAAAAAAGAAAGAGGGGGAGGGAATCAAATTGATTCCAAGCCAAAGGCCAGGCGGAACAACTCTGTCTTACAGGCCCTGTGGAAAGAAATCAGATGCCGCAGGGCCCTGGTCTCATGAGACAGAGCGTTCCACCAGGCTGGAGCCACTGTTGAAAAGGCCCTGGCTTTGGTTGAGGCTAGTCTGACTTCCTTAGGGCCCGGGACCTCTAGGGTGTTGCTACTTATGGACCTTAAGGTCCTCCGTGGGGCATATCGGGAGAGGCGTTCCCGTAGGTACAAGGGTCCTAGGCCGTGAAGGGCTTTAAAGGTCAAAACCAGCACCTTAAATCTGACCCTGTACTCTACCGGGAGCAGCATTATCGGCTGAGATCATCGTGCGATATCGAAATTGTTATCAAGGTGTGATTTCAAAACCAATTTTGGCCTATATACGCGGGTGGCGCTGTGGGTTAAACCACAGAGCCTAGGACTTGCCGATCAGAAGGTCGGCAGTTTGAATCCCCGCGATGGGGTGAGCTCCCGTTGCTCGGTCCCTGCTCCTGCCAACCTAGCAGTTCAAAAGCACGTCCAAGTGCAAGTAGATAAATAGGTACCACTCCAGCGGGAAGGTAAACGGCGTTTCCGTGCGCTGCTCTGGTTCGCCAGAAGCGGCTTAGTCATGCTGGCCTTGGCCAGTAAAGCGAAATGAGCGCCGCAACCCCAGAGTCAGTCATGACTGGACCACGACTTTTCCCTATTGAAAAATCGCACAGCGCTAAAACAGACCATGAAATTTGCAAAAAATGATTAAAATAAATAGGTGGGGGGGAGGCAAGGGATGGGGCCACGGACCCCCTGAGTGTGTCCCCTAATTGGGAACCACTGATCTAGTCCAACCCCCTGCAGGAATGCGCAGCTGCCCCACACAGGGATCAAAGCTGCAACCTTGGCGTTATCAGCACCACACTCTAACCGACTGAGCTATCCAGGCTGCTGGGGCTGCCAGAGGGGAGGGATTGACTCTCAGAGGCATACCTAGGGGGTTGGCGAAATTGGGCCCTGCAAGGGGGGGCATCAAAAAATACCTATGGAGTGTTTGGCATGTGTGTGTGTGTGTGCCGCAACCATTGCAGCGAGATCGAACAATGGAGAAGCTTGAGCATTCATTAGACTTAGCATCTTGGCACTTCATCACCACTCAGGGTGTCTCCCTGATGCTCAGGCAGTCAAGGAAGATTCAGGGGCTCCTTGAAGAGGTAAATGAGAACATATACTACATGGGGGTGGGAGGGCGAGAGAGAGAATTGCGACTGGAAACTGCCAAAGACTTGGCTCCAGGCGGTGATGGCAGGGATCCCTGAGCTGAGCAAGGCACAAGATTGCTGTTCCACCTTCTGTTCCTGGCCGGGAATGGGACAACCAGCCGACTTACCATCTTGAGCATTTTCGATAAAAGAGAGACGGGAGGAAGAAGGTTAATAGATGCAAACTGAAGCCTGGTGTACAAAACGGTGGGTTTTGTCTGGCATTATCCTGCTTTATTTCATGCTTTCGATAGTTAATGGTAAAGGGACCCTTGACCATTAGGTCCAGTCATGGACGACTCTGGGGTTGTGGCGCTCATCTCGTTTTACTGGCCTAGGGAGCCGGTGCACAGCTTCCAGGTCATGTGGCCAGCAGGACTAAGCCGCTTCTGGCAAACCAGAGCAGCACACAGAAACACTGTTTACCTTCCCGCTGGAGCGGTACCTATTTATCTACTTGCACTTTGACGTGCTTTCGAACTGATAGGTTGGCAGGAGCAGGGACCGAGCAACGGGAGCTCACCCCGTTGTGGGGATTCGAACCGCTGACCTTCTGATCGGCAAGCCCTAGGCTCTGTGGTTTAACCCACAGCGCCACCCACGTCCCCTTTTGATAGTTACGGTCTCATTAAAAATAGAACCATAGTATTGCAGAGTTGCAAGAGACCCTGAAGACCATTCTAGTCCAACCCCCTGCAATGCAGAAATATGCAGCTGTCCCATACGGGGAATCGAACCAGCAACCTTGGCATTCTCAGCACCACGCTCTAGCCAACTGAGCTATATATTGAGTTGGACCTTCTGTTGTGAGCATAAAGGAAACATGCCAATAACGTATGGGACCAGAGAAAATGTCTGCAGCACAATGGGTGTGTCTCTTACCTGGGAACTGTATGCTGTGTTCCAGCTATACAAAAACTAGATGGCTTCCACACAGAGACACCTCTCGCCTTCCAGGCAAGAGAACGCATTATCGCAATTCCAGGGCCAAGTACATCAGAGAATTCCAATTGATGATGTTTGCTTATTCGTCCAGAATGGAAATCAATCCAGCAAATGTGATCAGTATTTGCTGCTGCTGTTGCTATCGGCCCACAAATGATACATAATTGATTACATTCCCACCCCCACCCCCACACTCATCTGCGTTGTGTTCCCTTTGCACTGAAATCAATGGGGTCAAATAGAATGATAACGTAATTTAGGTACTCGTTTTATTTATAAAACTTATGCACTGTTCGATTGTTTAAAAAACAACAACCTCAAAGCAGTTTGCAAAGAGAGTAGGTTGGAGAGTAGGTAAAGGTAAAGGGACCCCTGACCGTTAGCTCCAGTCATGACCGAGTCTGGGATTGCAGCGCTCATCTCGCTTTATTGGCTGCGGGAGACGGCGTACAGCTTCCGGGTCATGTGGCCAGCATGACTAAGCTGCTTCTGGTGAACCAGAGCAGCGCACGGAAACACTGTTTACCTTCCCACCGGAGAGGTACCTATTGATCTACTTGCACTTTGACGTGCTTTCGAACTGCTAGGTTGGCAGGAGCAGGGACCGAGCAACGGGAGCTCACCCCATCACGGGGATTCAAACCGCTGACCTTCTGATCGGCAAGCCCTAGGCTCTGTGGTTTAACCCACAGCGCCACTCGCGTCCCTGGTTGGAGAGTAGGTTGGACTAAATGATCCTCAGGGTCCCTTCCAACTCTATGATTCTATGAACTATTTGAAACATCCCCCAAAAATCAATATCAGGGATAAACTAAAAACCAAACATGCATCAACATTCTAAATACCTGCGCAGATTTGTCTAAACAAAAATGTTTTTAGCAGGCGCAAAAGAGTACAGCGAAGGCATCTGTCTGATGTCAATGGGCAGAGAATTCCAAAGTACAGGTGCTGCTACACTAAAAAAAAACAACCTTACAAATGTGGAAAGAGGAATTAACACCTGTAACAATGCCAGTTCTGCAGATAGAAGCAGTTGAGCTGGCACATGTTGGGTAAGGTGATCTCACAGGTAAACCGGTTCCAAGTCGTGAAGGGCTTTGTGTTAGCACCTTGAACTTAGCCCGGTAGCAAATTGGCAACCAGTGCAGGTCTCTTAAGCAGAGGTGTGATTTACGCTGGCAAGACCTCCCTTCGAGTCAGAAATTTGCACTAATTGCAGCTTCCGGATAAAGCACAAGGGAACCCCCACATAGAGTGCATAGTAGTAATGCAGTAATTGTATGTATTATGTAAGCGATGTAATTTCAGCACAGTGGACAGCAAGAATGAAAAACACTGTTTTTTGACAGAAGAAAATGGTGCTGCCAGCAATGGATCGGGAGGTTTGTTGTGAGGAGGGCAACTAATATGGAACAGGGTCTGGAAACCCAAAGCCTTATGAGGGAGATGTTTACGGATGTTTAGCATGGAGGTGGGAAGGCTAAGAGGTGACAACTTCACACATCTGAAGGGCTGTCACATGGAAGATGGAACAAGCTTTTTTTCTCCTGCTCCAGAGAGGGGACCCAAAGCAATGGATTCAAATCACAAGGAGATTCCGATTAAACTTCAGGAAGAACTTTCTGATGGTAAGAGTTATTCAGTGGTGGAACAGACTTCCTCGGAAGGCGGTGGACTCTCCTTCCTTGGAAGTTTTTAAGTGAATGTTAGGGCTGTGAGTTAAACCACAGAGCCTAGGACTTTCCGATCAGAAGGTCGGCTGTTCGAATCCCCGCGACGGGGTGAGCTCCTGTTGCTCGGTCCCTGCTTCTGCCAACCTAGCAGTTCGAAAGCACGTCAAAGTGCAAGGAGATAAATAGGTACCACTCCAGCAGTAAGGTAAACGGCATTTCCGTGCACTGCTCTGGTTCGCCAGAAGCGGCTTAGTCATGCTGGCCACATGACCCAGAAGCTGTACGCCAGTTCCCTCAGCCAATAAAGCGAGATGAGCACCGCAACCCCAGAGTCGGTCATGACTGGACCTAATGGTCAGGGGTCCCTTTACCTTTACCTAGGACTGGGCAATAGATAGATAGATAGATAGATAGATAGATAGATAGATAGATATAGATAAATAGATAATTTATTATGGTCAAAGACCAGCTCACATAACATAACGCAATAAAAACAGCGTTCATAAAGATAAAACATACAATCGGAGCAGATTGCAGCAATAGCTCATGAGTTAAAATTGAGATATATACATACACCCGTACAACTGAGATTTGGGCTACCATAGCAAAAATTGACCCTGAGGCGCCTGTGGCGTTCGTAAGGAGCCCCCGGTCATCTCACGGACTATTGACCCGTACACCACTAATCCGCTGCCACCAACCAGGTCCTCCCTGGTAAAATCACTTCAGTCTCAGTCAGCTTTTCAATTAATAAAGAAGAGTGTGTTTTATTTCAGACACAAACAGAACTTTTACAGCATTCCAAACATTGTTACTCTTTACTTTCTTAGTCTTATTTCCCTCTCTCTATCTCTTCTACCTCCCCACACTCAAGAACCCACTGCCCTAACTGTCTCTCTATTACCAACTGCCTTTCTCAACCAGCCAACCCACTAAATCCAACCAACTACCCACCAACAACTCCCAACGAACTCCTCCCAGAACTGGTTTTATAGTCCCACTGACTCCACCCCCCTGGGTCCTGACTGGGCAACCTGTTTAACTATTTACCTCCAGCACTCTCTCTTATGTTAACATCACAGCGCCCCAAGCGCAACTTCATTATTTCCCTAGTAAGCTATTTTATTCTAGAGGATGATCTGTGCCTACAAATCTGGGCACAGATTCTGGCTACCAGCCAGGTCATCTTATGAACCTTGCCTAAAAGGAGAGAATTAAGTTTAGACTTGTCTGAAAGATCGGAGAGCCTCTTCAGCAAAGGATCAATGGTGTCTCTACTAATCTCAACATAAAAAGGACATCTAAAAAATATAGGTTCGAGGCTTCCTGTTTCCCCTAATGGGCAAGTGCAAAGTCTCTGTGCGTACGGGACACTTCTATAGGAGTCTTCCAGAACCGGTGAGGGCACGGCCGAGCTTCTAGCAAGAGTAAAAGCCCTTCTTGCGTTTCTGGATGTGAGGAAATATAGATATGCTGCTGGAGCGGCTAAGTATCTCGGGCCAGGCGATATATTGATATCATGTCCGAAATCAGTTCGAAGTCCATATTGTGATATCTGTTTCATAATTTTTGACCTGGCAATATATCATGCATCAAAAATTACAAGGTGGGGAAAACCGTGAAGCCAGCCAATGCCTCTGCGTAGCTCCATCCTTATTTTGGCCATTGTGATATATCGGTGTATTGTGATGTTTAGCCTGTGATATATCACAGTGCTGAAAACCAGAGATAGCCCAGTCCTAGAGGATGTTGTGCGGCCATCTGTCAGGGATTCTGTAGCTGTGATTTCTGCAATGCAATTCTATGATTCCATATTCCAGATGCAATCCACTCAAGAGAAAGTGTGTGAGGCAGGTGCAGAGCAGGCCAGGGAGATATGGGGCATGGGGAGATTCCTAAGGGCCGGCTAAGGAGCCCCTGTATTCATCCCCTAAAGAGGTGGAGGAAAGAGAACCCAACAAAAATTCGATCATTTCCTGCTACACGGAACGAAAATATTGGTATTATGGCTCGGGGAACCACAGGCTTGCCAGGATGAATTGCAACGCAGCCAGGGACTCTGGGTTGAC